AGAACTTCATTTCACATGCTGCTGTGGATGTGTGTGCTTCAGGGTGCCCCTGCACGTGTAGCCATGGATGTTGTGGCATGTTGGGGCTGGAAAACAGGAACCTGCTGGTGTGCCTGACACAGCGTGCTCACTGTATCCCTTTTCTGCTTTTACATGGTAACATCACAGAAACACTTGTTTATACTGAAGGTCCTGCAGTCACAGCAGTAATGGCAGGGTAAGAGAGCTAAGAATATATGAGTTGGTGGAACCACCTTCCCACTCTGACAGCAAGGCTGATATACAGTGGTTTTGGCCTTCTGTGTGAGGGAATAGGAAAATAAATGACCATAGGATAACCAGACAGCAGAACTGCTGCTGCCTGAGGAGAGTTTTGGCACTTCAGTTTTTACCATTGTGGGCTGTCCAGGTTTTGGGGTTTCACAGAAACTCCTTCATTCATGTCCTCAGTCCCTAGTTGGCTGTGGGCCATTTTAGAGTTATCTCTCTGTACATGCAAAGGAAAAATCTCATAAATATAAAACAGTGGCCTCGAACAGTGGTGCCTTGGGTGGTGGTTAGGTAATGGTCAGGCTTGGTACCCGGCCAGGACTGGTACCACATGTCTCACAGGAGCAGTTGTTTCTGCTTCTGTTCCTCTTGTTTACTTGTTATTCAAAGCAAAATCAGCTGTTTTTCCTTGTTACTGCTGGGTTTGGCTCGTGGGCTAGAAACTGGTTTGTTGCTGATAAAATGCTGCACAAATGGTACACTCTTAATATGATCTCAGCTCTCATGCCAGGAATACTTCTGAGAAGAGTTTTGTTTCTCCTGTGGTCCTGTGGGTCTAATAAATGACCCACTTCTCACTCTAGGGAGCTGCTCTGTCAGGGACACTCATGCTCCACATGCAGTACTAAGCTCTAGGAAAGGTTGGTTACCCTGACCGCTGCAAGAGAGCGCTGGCAGGCAGTGCTGAGCGCTGCCAGCAGTGCATTTCCCACTTGCAGTACATGCAGCACTTTCCTTGCACCAGCTGGGCCTGGTGACCAGGCTGTCAGAGCTCCCCAGAGCAAACTGCAGATGGTGGCTCTGCAAAGCAGGTGCTCAGATAAACAAGATTTAACTGTGGAGCATGAATCCATGCTGGCTGCTGACTCAGAGCTCCTTGCTCATCTCCTTGTGCACCTAATCCATTACTTTTCCTGTGCCTCGTGTGGTTTGCCTAGAGAAAACCTGAGCATGGCAATATGAATCCTTGATTTTTCTGTTAGCGAGCAACAGTGGGATTGGTTGTGAACTCCCATCACTGTTCATTTCTTAGCTGTTCAGTAAAGTTAAGATGTTCCACTAAGCAGATGGCTGTGGAGGCCATCTTTTAGATGTTGAATATTAATGATGTTGTGTATTTGAAATTAAGAAGTAAATCCACTTGAATGAATCATCCTAGCCAAGTGAGGTAATATTTTTAGTTACAAAGCTTTTGTATGTGCCATGTTTACCCTGGAGGTCAGTTCATGTGGGCCAGGTTTTCTGGAGGGCTTGTGTGGCTCAGAGTACCCTCGCTGGGAGGGCTGACAGGCAATCATTGCAAGTCCCTCCTCTTGCAATGACCCCAGGCAGCCTGGAGCTGGGCTGGCAGGTTCACCAACCTGGCTGTCTTGTCTGGTAACAGAAATTCTTCCAAACATACCTCACCATGAGTGAGTTGGTGCTGTAGCACAAGCTCAGGACTTCACTAGTAGCAAACTCAGACTTTGAACTGCACTGAATAAAAAAAAAATTAAATAGGAAAAAATCTGGAACAAAATAACAAAAAATGTACTGGTGCACATACCTGAGTCTGATGAGCTAAAGCAAGTAATATATTAAACTAAAGTGGACAGGCACATGAGGTGGAAATATGCTGGCAGTGTTACCTACAACCCCTCCAATATCCTGTAACCTTCCCCATATCTAAAAGCATTTTTCCAGCTCACTTCCCCCTCTACAGATTTGCATTACCATCCAGTGGGACTAGAGTACCAAACTGAGCCATCCAGGGAGTTAATCCATGAATTTCAGCACTTTATAGGTCCTGAGAGTATCTGCCCCATATAACATCTCATTCCAGCTCAAGCCAAAGATCAGAAATTCACATCTAAGTAAGCGAGCAATGGTTTTGCTAATCCCTTCTTACCAAAAGCATGGCTCCTCAGGAAGGTTTCATGTAAGATCTGCTTGCTGAGGAAGAGGGTACAAGCCTTGTGTGAATGTGCCTGAAGGAATTGCTCCTGGCCTCGTTTGGTATCAGTGCATCCATAGGTGTTTGCAGCAGAAGATTCCTGTGCATCCATTCCAGCTCCACTCCCAATCAGTGCTACACAAAGCTGTCCTAACAAGAGGGGAAAGTCAGAGAGCCATCATCTTAGTGCTTAAACCTGCACATTTTCAGATTTAAGGGGCAGTGATTGAACACTACAACCACTTCTTTTATTACCCAAACACTACCCAGGAAGGGAAATAATATCTAAAGCACTAGGAAGATGGCTAGGAACAACAAAAAAACAAAAACAAACAAACAAAAAAATCTGCTCTGTTTTCTTCAGGTTTCCCCTCAGGCCCTTTAGCACAGTGAACATTACCACTGGTTTAGTAACAGTGTGGGGAGTACACCTTGACAGCAGTAGAGCAGAGTTAGTGTTTTAGGGTATTTTCTCTTCTTTAGATGAAAAGACAGGCTTTTGGATTCAGGCTAAAAAAAATAGTATTCGTCCTGCTAAGTAGATTGAAAGAGAATCCAGATTAAATAAATCATTAAATCATTCCAGAATGTTATCCACCTGTTCTGGCCTGTAATTTATTTTCAGATGAAGAGTAGGTAAAAAAAAAAAAAAAAAAAAAAAAAGCAATACAATGGCAAAAATAATTTTCCTCTAACAGATGCTTTGATCCTGAAATGACACCTGGCCTGGGCAGCTGCTTTTGCAGTTTTTGAGATAATTTTGAACTAATTGCTCCAACCCACTGCTCCATAACCTCAATAGCCACATCAAGCTAAAACTTCTGTAGTAGCCACCTTTGAAAAGGGATCTTCAAGGGGTTTGTTGCTGCAAAGGCAGTCAAATTCATCCTTTTATTGTGGGATGGGAAACCTGTAGGGGAACAGGACAACAGGCAAGTACCAGCTGGCTGGGGGTGAGGGGTCTAGACCATTTCAGTGCCAGGACCGTTCTCCTCATGTGCTTGTGCAGCAGTAAAGGGAGGTTTTGCCTCTCTTGTATTCCTAAAAGGAGGACTGTGCTTCAAAGGTTGGAAAGCAACCTAGCTGGTCATGTGTGTTGTCGAGACTTTCTCAGGACTCAGAAATGATTCCCTGTCCTCTCTAGGAGAGTGTCAGAGTATTTGGTGCTGTCCACGTTGGCTGGGGATGGCAGGGAGGTGAGGTGACCAAGGACCTGTGATGGAGGATAGCAGCCAGTGCTGGCAGTTTGGGGAAGGTGATGAAGGGTGGTTATTGTCCTGCTCTCCCCCATCTCCTCTGACTACATTCAGGTGAAGGCAGCTGCAGTCCAAGACCCCAGTTTCATGTCTCTCCAGTGTATATTTAAACAGATTTACCCAGCTCGTTTGGCAGGTTTTGGACGAATTCTGCCAGTTGTTGAACGCAACGACGCTGAAGCAGGACTCCTCTGCAGCAGCCCCTCTGTGAGGGGGTAAAAGGGCCCGAAACCCTCAGCCAGCGGCGTGCGGAGGGAGCAGGGGCTGCCCGCTGCCTCAGCCCTCGCTTTCCGGCTCTTGCTGCGGTCGTCGGTGGATCGGGCTGATGAACTGCAGCTCCGGGGGACCCAGTGCCGGCACCGACCCGTCCCTGCGCTTACCTGGGGCGGGCAGCAGGGCCGCAGCCCCCGCGGGGAGCGGGGCCGGGCGCGGGGGTCACCGCGGGGGCGCAGGAAGGGCCGGGGTGGCCGGGGAGCCGCGCCGTCTCGGCCGCACAAAGCCGCCTTTTCATCGCGGCCTCCTGCCCCCGCCGGGCCCGTAATTGTCTTTGACAAAACTTCATTAGCGAGCGCGGCGGAGGCGGCGGCGGCCCCGCGGTCGCGCTGGTTTTGAGCGGGCGCAGTGGAGTGTGCGCGGCCCCGCCGCTCCCGCCCGGGGCCATTAGCCCGGCGACTTTGTTTTAGAAACTTCCCACCCCAGCGGGGGACGCGACAGCGAGCCGCCCCGCCCGCCCCCGCGGCGCTAATTGGGGGGCGATGCGGGGCTGCGGGGCTGCGGCAGCCGCTGCCAGCGCGTCCCCAAGGGCTGCGGCAAGGGGGGACCCGGCCCTCCCGGGCCAAGTGGGGTGCTGGGAGGGGGTGGCTGTGGGGGTGAGCGCTGCGCTACGGCGGTCCCCCGGCTCCGCGGAGGCTTCACCTTGCGCGCCCGGCTTGCGAACCGCCCGGGCGGGCTGAGGCGGGCCGAGCCCAGGGCGCCCCGCACCGCACCCAGGGCACCCCGCACCGCACCCAGGGCACCCCGCACCGCACCCAGGGCACCCCGCACCGCACCCAGGGCACCCCGCACCGGGCCCAGGACACCCCACACCGGGCCCTGGGCACCCCGCACCGCACCCAGGGCACTCCGCACCGCACCCAGGGCACTCCGCACCGCACCCAGGGCACTCCGCACCGCACCCAGGGCACTCCGCACCGAGCCCAGGGCACCCCGCACCGCACCCAGGGCACCCCGCACCGAACCCAGGGCACCCCGCACCGCACCCAGGGCACCCTGCACCGAGCCCAGGGCACCCCGCACCGAGCCCAAGACACCCCGCACCGGGCCCAGGGCACCCCGCACCGCACCCAGGGCGCCCCGCACCGAGCCCAGGGCACCCCGCACCGAGCCCAGGGCACCCCGCACCAGCCCCATCTCCCCGAGCAGCGGGCTCCGAGTGCCCGCGTGGCAGAGCCCGGCTGCCCCCGCTCCGCCGGACAACCCGAGTTCAATTCCCAGAGAAGCGGCATTAAAAAGCCCATCTCGTAGCAAAGCTCAGACAGAGACGGTTTAAATACGTTTATTATGGCATTGGAGGCGCTGAATCTGTTCGTGCGAGCCCGTTATTTTAGTTTTGTGCCTGGGCACACGCAGGCTCCGCTCCCGGTATTAGTTCTCCATCAATCCCCCCTCTGGTTTTTAATCAAAACAGTATTCGGAATATGATTCCCGGAGATTATATTTTGAGAGATTTGCGATACATATCTTGACGGCGTGACAGATTGCAGGAGAGTCCTGAGCGGGCGGGATAATCTGCATCTCGCTCACTTGACCTTTAATAAAAGGGGAGTAAAAGTAATAAATAAAAAATAAAACTCTTAAGACTCCTGCAGGTTACCTTCGCGCCTGCCTTAAAGAGACCCCGAGGCCTGCACCCGCCTAATTAACTCCCCCCGCGGCTTCGCGGTCGAGGGATTCCAGGGCCGGGGGCAGAGCCGGGGGATTCCAGGGCCGGGGGCAGAGCCGGGGGATTCCAGGGCCGGGGGCAGAGCCGGCAGCTCCTGGGCCGCGGAGCCGGGCAGGTTTCGTCTCCCGTGAGCAGCTCAGGAGGGCGATGCAGAGCTGCCTCCCCAGGGAGCCTCTAACAAAGCCGCCGGGGAACGGAACCGGAGGAAGCCGGGTCGCTCCCCTGCAGGACGGGACACAGCCGGGAGGGAGGTCCGGCCTGGCTCTGCCGGGCGGACACGCGTGGGAATCCTGCACATGTGCTCCCAAGGCAGATAATACCTGTCCTCTCCGGTGGGCGGAAAAGTCGCCTCGCAAGAACCCTTCGAAAGGGCCTAATACTCTTTATTACAAGCCCTAATCCTTCAAATCCGACTTAAAATAATGTTTATCTTTTCGCAGCTTAATTTCCCCTTCTCTAAGCTTCGGGTCACTGCAACAGACTGCTGCTGCTACACCGCCTCTTGTCCAGGGCTGCTCCGGAGTGCGGGCAATCCCCGTGGCCGGGCATCCCGACGGGCCCAGCCCTGCTCCCAGCCGTCACCTGCTGCCCTTGTGTGCACTTACCTCCCCCTCTCTCTCCCTCCCGATCCTCCAAAGCCCGCTGATGTTTGCCTTCTTTCACAGTGCCCTCTGCTCCCGGGAGGGGCCGCGGCTGTTACCGGGGCCGAAGCCGGCGGCAGCCCCCTCGTATCTCCCTGCGTTGACCTGCAGCTCCTCCTTTCCCCTATGAATTGCTTCTCCGGTCACAAACCCAGGGGGCTCCCTGTTAGGCAGCCCCACTCGTTTGAGTAGCCTTTAGTAAACATATAGAAGTCTACTCGATATTCAAGATTGATTTCCCTGATTTATTAAGGCAGAATTCATTGGACTCTATTGACCACAAATGACTTAATGTAAATGCTGACCCCGGTGAACTTGGAAATAGAAGGTATCGGGTTGATCTATAGATGACCTCTTAATTACCACAGTTATTAATTTAAATTATTGCCACTGCTTCTAGAGACAGGAACAAAGAAACATTCTTTCCTCATCCCTGCTTGGTTTATTAGTCCGAACACAAAGTGTTTGATGACACTTTTAATTAAACAGAAATAATGCAGAGATACGGTTTCCCTTTCTCGCCTGTCCTGTAAAGTGCAGCACTGCTCTTTTGACTGACTGGCGGCAGTGACCCACTAACAACGTCCTACTTCGCTGCCCGGTCGCCACCCGCGGCCCAGGGGTGCCCCGGCCGTGCCCCAGGGCGGGTGGCGGGTGCCCGGGGCCGCTTCTCCTGGGCTGTGCCGGCTCCTGGCTGGAGAGCTCCGAGGTCACTGACAGCTTCGTGGCGTTCAGCTCACCCGTGTTAATTAGAGACTCCGAAAAATACTTTCAGCGGTATCTAGGTACAGAGACGGGAAAGAAACAGTCCGGCGTAACCTGCGCCGCTTCCCCTCCTTCTCCTCCCCGGGATGGCGCGCAGCAAACTGGTGCCCCTTGGCAGAGCAGGGCGCTGAGCAGAGAGCGCAGGTTTGGGAGAAAAAGGAGAAACAAAACACGACGTGGGAGGAAAAGAGAAAATATCAGGGTGGGGGTTTTTCTTCCTTTTTGCAAAGACGTCAATGGGCAATATTGAACACATGGCAGGCGAGCGGCGGGAGGCGCCGGTCCTGCGGCCGCTCCGCCCGCCGCGGCCCTCGGCCCCATGTGCGCAGCACGTTGTGCCGCGGCGGCCCTTCCCCGGCGAGGGCAGGGCAGGCGGAGCCGCGAGGCCACCGCCGGCCCGGGGAGAGGTTTCTTTCGCTGCGTCAAGCCGAGTGCTTCCTTACAGCCAGAGCCCCGTCGCCAGCGCCCAGGAAGGGGCGGGCGGCCCTGCGGGACGGAGAAGCGGGGATAAGCTGGTGCTAAGTGGCCGCGGGTTGCTGCCCCGGCCGGACGGGAGCGGCCGAGCGGCGGCCCCGGCGCAGCGCTCTCAGGCCGGGGCCGCTCCTGTGTCCAGGGCCAGGCGGGCCGGCGTGCGCTTCGTGCGAGGCGGGGCCCCGAACCGGCCCGTCACCTACCTCACCTCCGCAGCACGGGCCGGAACGCCGTCCGCAGCCTTTCCAGGCAGGTCCCACCCAGCTCGGTGCCTCCCGGGCCGCCCTTGGCGCCCCGCCCGAAGCCTGCACAGACACAAGCGACTCGCGGTGGGCACGGCCCGGTCCCGCCGCCCTCCCCTGCCCACTCGCCTCGAGCGGGGAAGCCTCGGCGTGTGCACCTGACACCTGGGCACGGCCGAACGCCGGGCGTGGCACTGCGCGGGCGGGCTCACGCCGCGCCCTGCGGCCCGGCCCGGCCCGCGGTCCCGCCCGTCCCCGCGGCCCCGCCGCCGCGGGTACCTTCGCCCGCCGCCGCGAACTGGCACGGCTCCCCCAGGCCGCGGTGGGACGCGCAGCTTCGCGGGAGCGGCTGCAGGTTGAAAGCGGAGCTCCGGAAGGCCTTGGCGGGCAGGGGTTGCTCCCCCGCCGCTCCGCCGCCCTCGGGGCTGCCCCTGCGCGCCGCGCTGGCCCCGGCGGTGCGCGCCAGCGACCAGATGCGCGGCTTCTCCGCGGGCGCGTAGGGCGGCGGCGGGCCGGCCAAGGAGGCGGGGGCGAAGTCTGCGGAGGGGGCCTTGGCACAAGGAAAGGCGTGGAAGGGGCCGGGCAGGCTGCAGTCGCTCCGTGGAGCCTCGGGCAGCGCCGCGCCCAGGCTGGGGGCTTCCTGCAGGGAGCTGGTCCGGCCCTTCTCCGGCTTCCCCGCCTCCTCCTCCTCCTCCTCTTCCTCCTCCTCCTCCTCCTCCAGGTCGCTGAACTGCAGGTCCTTGTCCTCCTTGTAGCTCTTCTGCTCTGCTTGGACACACACGGGGAAAAAAGGGGCGGCAGGGCGTTAGTGCGGGTGTGGGGAAGTTGTGGGGGACCTCGAAATCTGCCGTCACTTCGAGCCTATTTGGAGGCGCCCGTCTGCCTCTCCCGCCTACCTCTGCCTTCACCCTCCGCACTGTATTCATCCTCTTCCCTCGGGGTTTCTTCTTTCCTCTCTTCCCCGGCTTTGTTCTTGGGAGACCAGGTCATTTTGTTTTCTTTCTTAAGCCTCCGTCTTGCGTTAGCAAACCAAGTGGACACTTGCGTCAGGGTCATTTTAGTGATGATAGCCAGCATGATTTTCTCTCCTTTGGTGGGGTAGGGGTTTTTGCGGTGCTCGTACAGCCAGGTCTTGAGAGTACTCGTCGTCTCTCGCGTTGCATTTTTGCGTCTGGCTGAACCACCGAAATCCACCGTCCCGTACCTGCTGGGAGATGATTAGGGAGAGGGGGCCAGCAAGAGCCCGCCGGCCCAGCCCAGTCGTGCCGCAGGCCGGTGTGGCCCCTGCCCATCTGCCTGCCTACCCCTGCCCTCCTGACATCGCCACCCAACTTCGGTTTCCGCTGTCTGCTGCTCCGGGGCGCCTCGTTTCTTTTGTACAACGTTTGTCAGATCGGAGCCCCCCCGTCCCCCTCGTTTGATGTCGACCGCCGCCTCGCAGGGGGATGCTAATGCTGCCGGGCGCTGATCAAAGGGGTTTTACCTGTCGTACTGGTACTGCCCCAAGGAGTGATCGTAGGAGTAGTAGGTAGCGGGCTGCGCGATTCCCGAGTGCAGCGTGCCGGCGCCGTCTTTGATTTCATACTGGGGGTTCTGCAAGGGAAGCGGCAGCGTTTGGCGTCGAGCAGGACGGGAACCCCGCCGCGCCCCGCAGCTCCGGGTCCCGCAGCAGCCGTGTCCCTTCGCGCCCCCCACCCCCGACGGGCCGGCGCCGCTCCCGGCCCCGCGTCCCCCGGCGGTCCCTCGCCCCGATACCGACCGCCAGACACGAAGTTTCTCCCGCCTGTTGCACCCCCTCCCCTCCGGAGCGCTGCCGGGCGGGCGGGCACTCACCAGCGCGGTGTAGAGCGCGGCGGGCTCGGCGCCGTAGGGCAGGTAGTTGCCGTAGCCCTGACCGGCGGCGTACGGGGCGCTGTACATGCCCAGCGCGGCATTGAGCTCGGCGCGGCCGGGCGCCAGCAGCCGGCTCTCGTACGGGGCGCAGCACAGGGAGGCGGCGGCCGGCGCCGAGGAGGCATCCGGCCCGGAGCGGGGGGCGGCCTCGCAGCAGGTCGTGCTGGGGCTGGCGGGCACGAAGAACTGCGGAGAGGAGAGAGCGGGACGGCGCCGAGTGACTGTCGAGGCAGCCCCATCGCGGGGAATTTAGGAGCGTGTGCGCGCCTGTGTGTGTGCGGAGTGGGGGGGCGCCGGTGATGAGGGGGATAGGAAACGCGGGCTGAAGCAACTAATTATAGAAACCGGGAAATAAACCGGATGGGAAGCAGGAGCTCTTGGGAAGGGGGCACGATTAATCAAAGCAAAACTTTAAGGAAATAATTGCTCTCGAAAAAGGTATAAGATCTGTAATGCTCCGTCCTTCCCGCCCCCGCTCGGTCCATCTGCATTGATTTAAAGGCAAAAAGTTGCGATTACAATTAATTTGACAATAGACACAGCAGTAAATATGTCAGCCAACGCAATCGAAGGCATTTGATTTCAGTAACTTCAAGGGGACAGCTAACTTCCCAAGCGAGGGAGGAACATCTTGCAGTGATTACCGTGTATAAATAATTCCACCCAAATAAATCGTGACTCGAAGTACGATATAGCTACGACTTAGTTAATACAGGGTGCCTTGGTGTGAGTGGGGGATGTCCTTCGGAAATCGCATGGGGGAAAAAAAAACTCTGGACAGATCCTAATAAAACACAGGAAAAGGACCGACCCGTGGAGGAAAGAGGGAGGAAACGGCACAGCCCGGTTCCGCAGAAACGCGAGTGAAGCCCCGAGCCCGCCGAGCGCCGGTTCCCGCTGCCCGCACGCCCTGCGCGGTGCCCGGCGGCAGCGGTGCGGCGGGGGCTGCGCCCGGCGCAGCGCGGCCGCTCCGCGGGCTCGGTAAGCGGTTGTAGCTGGGATTTATGTTTTTATTTGTTTGTTGCACTTAAAACTGAACGGTGAAGGGTGGGGAGGAAGGGGAATTACCGGTTTCCTACACGCCTTTGCTGTGCACACTGCGAGTTATTTGTTCAAGCCTAACACAACACAAACGAGACATAAACACACACGCACATTTTTTTAAAAAAGGCTCCAGATGTGCCCTTTTAAAATATATTCTAAGTAAGGGAAAGGGAAGAAAAAAAAGGAGGGGGGACAAGACATCTGGACAGCAGCAGCAGAATCTAAACAAAAGTGAGTGCTGCTCACTCGCCTTACCTGTGAAGTGGTGCTGTAGGGGTATCCGAACTGAGAGAAGGACATAGTTGCTCCTTATTTTTGGACCATAGGCAATATTTTCCCCCCAAGATCGATTGTAACTAAACCCTGCTTCAAGATGCACCTTCTCACACACACATTTCCACGTATGGCTTTTTTTTTTTTTTTTCAATTATAGATGATTGCACTTAAGAAAAGCAGCCAGACATCTGAGGCGGGGGGGGTGGGGTGGGGGGGGAGGAAGGAGGTTGGTGCCTGGATTAAAAAAATAGGCTACCCCCCACTTCCCATCGCTCTTAATAAATATGTTTGTATAGAGGGAATTTAAAAAGCCACCCCACATGTATAGAGAGTTTAAGTGCAAGGGGGCTTTTTCAAAGAGGGGGGGAAAATCACGTAGGGCTTGCAAGATACGGAGCTTGCTTGTATTATTTTCTGCTCTATAGGTCTTTAGCGTTGATCGGTGGGCGAGGAGCGGGGTGACGTCACGGCCCTGCCGGCAGCAGCAGGCAGCGGCGGGCAGGAGCAGGCAGCGCCCCGCGCCCGCTCCCAGCACTTGTTTCATCTTGGTTTCGTGTTGTGCTCTGATGCACGTCAAAGGCGGGACTGGGGGTGCCTTGCGGTTGGTCTTTTTTCCCTTTATTTTTAAACACGATCAAAATTTGTCTTAGAGGAATAAATATCAAGTGGGGACATCGCGGCTCCCACCAGCCCCAGCGTGAGCCCTGCTACGGGCCCGCCGCGGGGAGGAGAGCGCCGGGCAAGGGTCGCGGTGGCAGCGGCGGTGCCGGGCGCACCCAGGGCAGCAGCTCTCGAGGTGGGCCCGGCCGACGCAGCCCCCCGGCCCTCTTCGCTGACCTCGTGCACATCCCCAGGGCCGGGCGCTGCTGTACAGCTCGGCCCCGGTTCTGCACCGCAGCCGCTGAGCCGTGCTCCCCGCCTCGCCGTCGCTGCCCGTCGCGGCGGCCCGGAGCTGCGGGAGCGGGGTCAGACCTCGCCCTGCAGAGCGTGCCCTGCCGGCCGGGGCCGGGACAGAGCACGGGCCGCAGAGCAGCCCGGAGCCCATTCTCTAAGGAGTGCCGAGCCCCTTGTTTCCCCTTAGCCCCGTGATGGTCCCTCCGGGAGCAGGGGGTCGGGGCGGTGGCAGGTCAGCGGGGCGGTGATGTATGGATGGTTTCCTGCAGCCCGGCCGGCCCGCTACCGCCACGGCGTAATTGCATCAATTAACAAATGGAAATGCCCTTGTTTAATCAGGGACTTACATATTGCGAATTTGCCTTTGAGGCGGAATCACCGGGAGGTAAACCGGGATTTCCCCCCCAAGAGCTTGGAGCTCCCGCGGCGCTCCCGGGCCGGACAGGGTGCGATGTCCTGCCACTGGCAATTCATAAAGAAAAAGAAAACCAAGTAAAAATGCGACCCGGGGCGGCCCGGCGGCACTTGTCCCGAACACGCCGGGGCCGTGTCCCGCGGAGCCGGTGGGCAGCCCTGGCAGCCTTGTCCGTGTCCGTGTCCGTGTCCGTGTCCATGCCCGCCCCGCCGGAGCCGCTCCGCTCCGCCTCCGCCCCGCTCCCCGACGGGTGGCGCTGCCGATCCGCGAGCGATGCGCGCCGGCCCGGCCCGGCCCGGCCCGGGGGCCGCTCCCCTGCGCACCCAGAGCCGGGCGGCCCCTGCCCTGCCCTGCCCTGCCCTGCCCTGCCCGTGCGGGCGGCGCTCCGCCGGCAGCCAGCGAGCCCAGCCGCGACGGCCCCGCCGGCCCTTGGCGGAGCTGCGCGCCCGCGGACCCGCAGGGTGCGGAGCGGGCTGCCCGCGGACCCGCAGGGTGCGGAGCGGGCTGCCCGCGGACCCGCAGGGTGCGGAGCGGGCTGCCCGCGGACCCGCAGGGTGCGGAGCGGGCTGCCCGCGGACCCGCAGGGTGCGGAGCGGGCTGCCCGCGGACCCGCAGGGTGCGGAGCGGGCTGCCCGCGGACCCGCAGGGTGCGGAGCGGGCTGCCCGCGGACCCGCAGGGTGCGGAGCGGGCTGCCCGCACCGTCGGGGGCCGCGGCGCTGCCCGCGGGGCCGGAGCGACGCGAACCGCCCTAGCCGCGTCCGCCCCGCCGGGGTGAGCGGAGGGGCCCGGAGCTCAGGGCCGGCTGTCACAGCCCTCTGTTTCGCCCGCAGCCTGGCGAGACGGAGCGCTGTAAACTCGAGCCGTGTCAATTGTCGTTAACAGGGGCAATAACTTAAAATTCATTAAGGAACACCTTTGGGTAACATTACTGCTAATTATTTAATTGCAAGAATCCCTATGGGGAAAATTATGCTAATTATAAAGTAATAAAACCACTTGTTCTAAAGCACTTAATTCAGCAAAATTTAGTCTTTTCATCAGAGCACTTTGTATGTTATTTGATGGAAGAAGCAACAAGAGTAGCTGTGTGCTCATCCTGCCTGCGGCTCAGAGCCCAAAGGAGCTGTCTCTGGCAGTGTGTTTGTGCTGGCAGGTTGCATGAAGGGCTCTTGTCCTTGCTGAAGCACTAAAACTGGGGCAGGATTCACTGTACAAAAAAGCATTTTCATAACAGAGATCATGCAGATCAATACAAACATTGCATTTCCCAATCTTTATCATGGACGATCAATGTGAAAGCAATTCTGTTACCTGTCAGGTACGTTGTAGCTGAGCTAAGCTTTGGGAAGTGGCCTTTCCCCAATCTAGCTCTCTCCACTTACAGCACTCTGCCCTACAGAGATGTTTCAGCAGCATACTTTTTTCTAGACATGCTCAAGAGCCATCCAGATGACCCCTTTAATTGCCCTTACAACCTGGGAGAGTGAATGGCATTCCTGTTAAATACAAGCTCTGCTGTGCTCCCTAGCTCTTTAGGAGGACACAAACTCTGTCTCTTTGTGTTCTGAGCACTGCCACCATTCACTCTGCCTGTCCATCACTGAGCAACCATACTCTGCATGTCAAAGCTGCCAAAACATCTTTCTGTGATTTGTAAATATTGGCATAAACCTCCTGTTAACAAGTGCCTGAACCCGGCTTGGCAGAGGGTAGCTTTGGGTTGGAGTGTGCAATTTGCCGTTTTTGTCATTGCAGGGAATGAGCTTCACCAGCCCAATTTCCATTCTGCACATACACCATGTCTCAGAGAGGTGCAACTGATGCTGTGCATGGTCACTGCAGATCTTTCTTTCTCTAAATCTGTGTCATCTCTCTCCCTGCATACAAGCATATCATCCCACCCACCCCCACAACGTGCATTCCCTTCACCCAGTCGTCCTAGCGAGGAGTGTGTGACTACAAACACGAGCAAAACGGGAAAATGATCTCTCTCGATTCACAAACTTTTGTTCTTGAAAGAGAGGATTGTTAGGCTTAACTGTAACATTTCTGCAAGTGGTTCTTCTTGAAGTGAGGCAGGAGTTCAAATGCAGCCAACAATGTGATTTTTGGTATTTTTAAAATCAGCATCATTTGGTTTAGCTCTGATACTGCTTTGCTCGGGAGGTAATTGCAAGGGGTGAAGGTAACAGTATGTGCTTCCCACCGATGCAAATGAAGCTGCTGATAACTGCAAATGAAATACTAGGTTAATTGAAATAATCAGGGGAAGAAGAAAGCAGCTTCAAAAACATGTAGCAGAAATGTGGCTGAGAAGAAAGTGTCTTTATATTTTAGAATACAGGGGGATTTTTTGGCTGCTGCTTTTTTGTACTGAGAAAATGAAAATTCTTCAAGTCTATGCATGAATAAACAAGTACAGCTGGGCAGCCTAATACATAATTTATATTGATCAGTCACTGCAGATTTAACTGAATAAAGCCAAAATGAACACTAATTGTTTTGACAAACTAAAATAGTGCATATGATGGTTTATTGTGAAGCTTGCTGGTACTGTCCTTATCTCAGTGGCTGTTTTCAAGACTGATTTCTTCATGAGAGGTAGAAACATATTAGGACAATATAAGGATTAATATCTTATGGAAGATAAAAAAATTTAGTTGCTTAACATACAAGCAGAGTGATGGGACAACTAGCACAGTGAAGTGTGGGACAAGAGCTGATTTAGGGTGTGAGGTATTGCTGAGGTAATGGGTAGTACCTTGTCAGCTGAAGGCTAAGCCTGAAAGTAGTATTTTGTTTTTGTCACATTTGAAATACATCAGGAATAAATTTGCCTTTGGATATTTGTTTTCTAAAAGGGGACAAAAAGTTGTCAGTGAATATCCAGGCAGTTATGTAGGCTTGTTAATCTAAGAAGCTACTTTTGCTCTGGTTTTGGTATGTGCAGAGTGACAGAAATACATAGCTGGGACTTTGCTTTGCTTCTCCAAACCCTCTCGTTGAGATGGATGGCTAAATGAGGGCAATATAAGATATCATTTGGAAATAAAGTAAGAGACAGACAAAGGGAATAATATTCACAAGGATCCCTAAGCACCATTTCTGAGTGGGCTCCTTTGTGTGACAGTGACCTGCTTCTTCCTAACAGTCCTCTGCAGTGGCCTCCCCCTGCCACCTCGCCCTCCTGCCTCTTCTCCAAGAACTGGCAGCTCCACTTGGCTCCCAGCATCACTTCCATAATTATCAGTGGGTTTGCTGTATCTCAGGTTATCACCATGTTTGCTGTGATTAACTTTTGGGATGTGCCTTTAAAATTGACAGGCGGGCTTGTGTGTTACTGAGTTGGAGGATGGTAGGACCCAAGGCTTTATTCTGAACCATTCTGTGCCCAGGGGCAGCCAAGTGAGTGGAAGCTGGACATGAGTCTTTCTCAGGTTCGGGGGTGGTATTTTCCTTGGATCTGGGATCATCACTAACTTGTGATCACCCCAACCTGTGAAAATATACTTTGTTGATGAGAAAACACTTTGGTAAGAGTGCTCTGCATCAGGGTAGTCAAGCACTTCTGTGCTGGCTTTCTTCAGGTTATCTGTAGATTATTCTATAAAGTATGGATTCATCTGAAGATGCATCGACACAAAACCTGTGAGAACTTCACCTTTCAGAATTTGTTTGTGCTTTGCTGAGGTGTGGGTTAATTTATGCCAGGATACTTAGGGAAGCTCTCATTCAGTCTGACCCCTCTGTGGATTCAGTTTCCAGTGAAATCAATAATTTTTGTGGCAAAGCGATTGCTGGTCTGACACATCATGAGCAGAGTTCACCATTAACCACCCAGCTGTGTCTGTGCTCTCATGGCCTTTGCATCAGCTCGTGTGCAG